AGAAAAAATATCAAGCTTTTATGAGAATTCTCTTTCAAAACTCATCACATTTAGAAGAGAAGAATATGTCATTTCATGAATATACTGATGAAAATAACTGGGAATAGTCTGAGCTTACATGTGATGAACTAGAGTCAGCAATATTCTCAAGTTCAATTAAAACTGCTGCAGGGCCTGATTCAATTAATCATTTAATTATTCAAAACATATATTTCTACTTGAAGAATGAATATTTTGAGCTCTTTTTCAATCTCTTAAGAAATAGTTATTATTCTGAATACTGAAGAGAAGCTACTGAAGCAATTCTTACAAAATCTAATAGAAAAGCTTCAGTTTCTAAGTTATATAGAGTAATATCTCTATTGAACTGTTTGAGAAAAGTTCTAGAAAAGATAATAGCTACTAGATTATCTTTTATAAGCTTTATTAGTGATTCTCTTCTATTTAATGAACAAATGAGAGATAGAAAACAATGCTCTGCAATTAACACTGTTCTCTCAGTTATTTATAATATTTAAGTAGCAAAGTATAAAGGCCTGGTCTCAACTGCAGTTTTTATTGATATAAAAGATGTATTTGATCATGTTTCAAAGTCTAAGATGATTCAAACTTTGAAGATGTTAAAACTGTCACTTTCTCTAATAAAATGAGTTGATTGTTTCATATCTAAAAGAATTATACAACTATTCTTTGATGAAAGAAAACAAGATAAAACTGAGATAAAAATAGAAGTATCACAAGAATCTTCAATCTCACCTGTTTTATTTACAATATACACTGCATATTTATTCAAGAATAGAGAGATGAAAATAGTGAGATCTTCAAGTTATATAGATGATATTAGTCTACTCTACAGTTCAAAGACAATCAAAGAGAATTTAGAAGTGATTGAGAAAGCAGCAAAGAAAATCTTTATTAGAGCAGATATCAATCTAATTCAATTTAATATGAATAAAACTGAGTTTGAACAACTATCTAGCAAAAAACCGCTCCACCACGAACTCGCTCGATTTTTCGAATAAGAACCCGCCGATAGATCCATCGAAAAGCCCTCGATCATACGAGCATTTTGACCCCATCGCCGACCGCATACCCCGTGTGGTGGTGGAGTTATCCAGCCAAACGTGAACTGGACGTTGTTCGAAACTCCTGTGTGGGATTATCCCCGTTCTCCCCTACCACACCACAACCCGGGCCAAAGTGCCATACAAATTGTAAGGTGAAGAGACCTAGCCATATGCACCAATCTTCTCGATTTTGGAAGATCCCCGATCTGTAGTTGTGGAGATATCTGAGGAGCGACCTCCGCGAAAACCCTGCCCACCTTTGATGTTCCAAAACACCAACGCCAAGTCTCACCCTCGTACCGCCCTTCCTAATCTGGCCCATCCCCGGCAGAAAAATACAAAAAGATACCTCGGCGATAATATCAAGCACATAATCAACAGCCACTTCTGAAGTGCATTCTCCATGGTCTGTCTTCAGCGTATCATATCTAGACATCAACGCCAAGTCTCACCCTTGTACCACCCCTCTCAACCTGGCTCATCCCTGACAGAAAAGTACAAAAAGATACCTCAGCAACTGTACTTGATACATTATCAGCAGACACCACAACTATAAAATCAGTATATCTCAAGGTCTAGACTAGACTGGCCGGCGGGACCATGAATTTCACATTTGGTCTCATTTGGTCTGGTCCCATACATTTCTTGGCGTGAGTCCCACCAGGATCAAGCCTCAAAAAAATCTGAAAATGGACCATTTCTGAGAGAAATGGCGTGAAAAATGACCAGATTTAATTCAAGAACAGTGAAATGAGAGTAATTTTTCAGAATAAACTGTGAAAGATGATCATTCTTTCAAAATCAGAATGAAACTGAAACTGAAGATCAAAATCAGTCTCATTCAGTTCATTCAGTGATTGCTTATATAATCAGAATTTGGTAATGATTATTGGTAACACTCATGAAACAACTAAATACATTCTTGTGCAAGTTTATTCTTCACTTTCTCATGAAAACTACACTTCTCTGATATACTGTGATCAGAGGTATTAAACTGTCTGATAATTCCATGTTTTACAATCATGAGTTTCTTGATTGTTTCTCCTTGTAATTGTCCTCAGTGATAGTGATAAATATCTCAACTTGAGTTGAACTTTCACTTCATTCTCACCCCTGTCAATGGAATTATCAGAATATCATGTGTTATCAGTGCAACAGTTGAATATGTACTCTCAACAATTTTTCATAACTCTAGAATTGATTTGGTGTGTAAATTTGTCAGATCATCTTGAAGATAGCAGTCAAATTCAGTTTTATAAGCATGTAGTTTTGCCTGATTTTCAGTTGCAATCAATGTATGCAAGTCCTGTTTCAAAGTGAGTATTATAGTTCTATGTGATATGAAGTGTTATCAAAGATCATTACTTACTAGGGAATTGTATTTCACTGTCTTCACATCTCAAACATCTGCTTGTTCAAATCTCTGATAGTTGGCATTGTAGTAGTCTCAGGCTAATTTGACATATGAGTCTTGTTCCTCCTCTGTTCAATCTTGAGAAGTGTAGATATTAACTCAATGGGAGAGATCTAGTAGAGCTGCTACAGTATAGTACTCTGTAAAAGATTGTTCTGTTTTGCTGTAGTAATATGCCAGTTTATTCCTTACAGCAACAATAGCCTGTGCTATAGCATCATCCCAGACTGAATTTCTTTTTAAGTGATTCAACTGCTTCTCAAGATGAGTAAATAAACTGTTATACACTCACCAGGCTGACTGCAGCATTGATGTACAAGTGATTGAGACTGTCTTTGTTGTCTTATAAAACTGAAACAGTAAATCAATCACATATTTCAACTGAGTTCACTTCATATCAGAAAGTTTCAATATCTGAATCTTTTCTCAATCAGAGTGTTGCACTCAATGATCAATCATCTGACACAATCAAAGAGCCTGAACAGTCATTTCATATGTTGAACTTCATCATATTTTAACATCCTGTATCATATTCAGTGATGTGACTGATTTGTTTATTTATTGAATATCATGAAATTATTGTTGTTGTTTAGAAGAGGTACAAATTGCATTAGCAATGTTTCAAATCTATGATATTTAAATTATTAGTCAATCTATTCAAAATTAACAGTAGCATTATCAAAAAGTGTTATCAAAAAGCAATATCAAAAAGTGTTGTCAAAAAACATTACCTTTTGCAAAGTGAATACAAAAGTTACTTGAGTAATCACTTCCATCTCATTCTCATCTCAAGAATCAGCCATCTCATTATTCTTCACCTTGATGTTAAGATTCTTTATCAGTGTTTGTATCACAAGTTGAACCACATGAGCAATGCAGGGGATATGACCTTGTTTATCATTCCAGGAATGCAAAGCCAATTTTTGCTCCAAGCTCTTCATCATAGTGTAGTTATTCACAGCATTATCAGTTGTAATTGCAAGAAGACTGGGACTAATATCTCAATAGTCATTTTTAATCACAGTCATTAATACCTCTGTCATATAATCCCCAGTATGACTACTGATCAATGATTCAAATTCAATTAATGTCTTTCAATAAGTTCAGTTCTCATCAATGTAATAACATGTAACTCTCATAAATGTAAGATTGTTTGTACTAGTTCATGCATTCACTGTGAGAGACACTCTTTGATGATTCTTCAACTCTGATCCTAGATGTTGTATATTGACTTTGTAGTGTGTCTTGAGGTTGAACTGAAGACAGGATTGATGTGGAATATGAAGATTTGAATTAAGCATTTGAAGAAGTGTTCAGAATTCAGGGTTTTTAATTGATTGAAGAGGAAGATTCAGAGATATACACATGTGAAGTAATTGTTCATGGAAGTTATCAGGTGAGAGTTGTGGAATCAGAGTACTGATACAGGGTCATTTTCACATGATTTTCTTCAAATTAGAAAGTTAGTGTTATCAAAAATCATTATCTGATAGAGCAACTTATCAGCTCAGTAGTAATTTTCTGATTATTTTCCTTTTATTGTCTGCATTCTGATGACTTCAGATGTCAAGAAATTCCTTCAGAGCCATGATCAGTTCATGATGAATGTTTCTGAATGAAGTTGCAGTGATTGCAGCAAAGAGATGACTCTTCAGTAATCTGCAATGCAACCTGTTGATAATTATTCCATAGTTCATCTTGATATTTGTGTTGAGTTTTTCATAAATTTCATGGCCTGGAATCAGATGTGAAGAATGAAGTGATCATTTATTATAATTGAAAGAGAGCATCCTGTGTTGAATTGTAAACAATGTAGACTTTGTAATTCACAGTGATTTCTTGAAGAGTTTGTGAATCTTCAATAGAAGTAAAAGAAGTGAAAGAAGTGAATTCAGAAGACATGATAATAATTTGAGAAAGATGACAATTTATTTTCAATAACTGATCACTGATGTGTGTAAGAAGAATTAATATAAGAGAAAATAATCTTGTTTCTTAGCTTAGTTATAATTTTAGTACTAACTCAGATTGAATATCATTGATGTATAAAAGTAAATAAACAATCTTGATTAATCTCTGTCATATTTCTTGAAATATATTAATATTGTGAAAGAGAGTATTATCAAATTGTGTTATCAGATGATATCATTAAAAATATATTAATATTGTGAATATCAATGTTGAAAAAATGTTGATACTTATACATTATAGTGATTTGTGAATCATGATAGTTAAATATATATATATATATATATCATTCCTGACTTGATTACAACTTGTACAATAATTTTTGAAAACTCAAAATCAATTTTAATTATTAATAATTAAAAACTTAAACTTATAACTAACTAATATAAAAAGAAAAAAATCTACTTCTTCTCTTTCTCATTCTTCTTATCATTCTTCACAATTCACTTCTCATTCTTCTTCTTCTTCTTCTTCTTCTTCTTCTTCTCCTTCTCATCTGAGGTGATAATCATCTCAAAATCTCTCTCTGCTGTCTTCTCAGAGAAGGGTTCTCACTGCTCCCCTTCAGCCAGGTCAACCTGTATCTCAAAATCCCGCATTTCCTGGTCTGCTGCCTCAGGTTTCACCTCAGCAGCAAGCAGATTGGCATGCTCAGAGAGCAGGGCTGTCTCCTCAATGTCCTGGATCATGGAGTGCATTTGAGACCTGAACAAGGCCTCAATCTCCTTCTCCTCTGCCAGCTCCTGCTAATCAATTAGAGAACAGAAGCATTATCAAAAATTGTTACCTCTCAATAAAAACTTACCAGTTTTGACTTCTTTGTCTCCTGCTTCAATACCTTCTCAATCTCCTTCTGCTGCTGCTTATTTACAGTAACACTCTTCTTCTCTCTCTCTCTCTTCATCTTGGCCTCAAATCATTCTCAGAACTTCTCCTGGTCTCACTGCTGCTGCATGAGGCTCTTCACTATCTTCTTTTTCAATCTCTCACAGGCGGTGTCATCTGCATTATTCCTATACTTAGTTCAGTCTAAATCTATCAGAAGTGTTACTTAAAATTGTTATCATTCTGCTCTCTTACAGAGCCTCTTCAAGGCATTATAATATGCCTTGTGATCTGTCTCCCCGCGCTTGAACATCTTCTTCTTCTCTTTCTTCAATCTGTGACAGCGCTCACGCGTCTTGGTGGTCCGCAGGACCGCAGAATATTTGAAGGGGGATGACATGATTGGTTTTGATGAGCATTGAAGAGAGGTGGAGGCAGGCAATGATATGATGATAATAATGATGATGATGATGATGATGATGATGATGATAGTAATGATGATGATGATAGTGATGATGGTGATGATGATGATGATGATGATGATGATGATGATGATGAAAGGGGAAGTGCATCAGAATATATTATTGACTTACCAAACATAAAGAGACAAAGAAACTATTAACAGCTTTCAGAGATGTACAGAAATGGCTACAGTGTTGCATAGCAACATTATCTTCATTCAATACATGCACTATTGATATTCTTTGTATGCATTTATCATATAATCTATATCAGGGATACATGCAGAAAACAGATCTTTGTTGCTAGGAAGAATGATTGCAGCAATTCTCTGTTTTCATATTATAAAGATAAGTTATTCTCATTTCTTTCTTCTCTCTTTTCTCTTCTTCTTCAATCCACCACTAAGTTCAAGCTGGTATGAAAACTATTAAAACACTCATAGAAACCCTCAAATTGAAGAGTATAAACTAATCAAATTTTAAATGCAGATGAATCAAAATAATTCAACAATACTAATTATTCATCCCCTCTTCAATAAAATAACAGTCGCGTCTTTCCCCCCCCCCTTCAAATGAAACATGGCTCGCGAAAAGCAAGTACCACGCCAGGCCATAATGACCAACACGGCCTCAGCATGCAGGGCTGCATACACGCAGCGCATGCTGAACTGAGAGGCTGTGTGAGTTGCAAACTGATGGCAGCATTCCAGGGAGAGCTGTGCGGTGTGAGAAAGCTGCAACTCTCAGTCACATGCACAGAGGATGAATCACTGCAGTAAGTGCATGTGCATTGCATGGAAGTAATGCTTTTTGATAATGCTCAGTCTCTGATATCATGAAAATAGAGTCTCTTCATGAGATCCATTTTTACCAGAAGTTGAAGAATCTTATATTCCTCAAGGCCACCTTCACGCGCCTTGTCCGTGAAATTGATGAGAGGAATCATTGATTTCAGTGTTCTGCTCTTGATGTCATTCAAGTGGCAGCAGAGTTCACCCTGACCACACTTTTTAAGTGTATGTTTTCTAATTATTCACATTTATACAGATATATACTGATTATTTGTAAGATGATGTTAAGGCAATAGCTCATCGCGGCTGTATTACCCTCACTGTGAGGGATACATGATTGGTGATGGACATTGTGAAGACTCTGAAGAGTGAGTATTTTGAGGGTGCTGCGGCCCTGTGATCTTGATTTTTTTTGTTTTTATTTTTTGTTTTTTTCTTTTCCTTTTCTTTTTTTTTTTTTTTTTAATGTGATTTTTTCTTGTGTTTGTTTTGTTTTTTGTTTTTTGTTTTTTTTTATATTTTATGTTTTTTTTATAATTAAAATTATATGAATTATGATCTGTGTTCAGAAAAGTAATGATATTTGGTAACACTCTCTGTTGAATTTTCAACAAATGAGCACTATGTTATGATATTATGTAAGTGAGAAGTGATTTCATGATCCCATTTGGTGCCATTCTCAATAATGGAATCAGAATGAAAATGTGACTAAGAATTCAAACATATTCTTTATCCAGGACTAGATTTTTATTTGAAAAGTGAATCTGAGACCTTTAATATTTGAAATAACATGATTTGGGATCAATGTGATGAACACAAACCATGATCAGGAGTAATGCTTTTAGGCAACATGACAACTGTAAAGTTTGGTCCTGGTCTCAGACACGGTCACACGGTCAGTCTAGTCTAGACTGGCCGCTGGGACCATGAATTTCACGTTTGGTCCTGTTTGGTCTGGTCCCATACATTTCTTGGCGTGAATCCCGCTGGGACTGGCTATCAAAAAAACAGATAAAGTGACTATATATCAGATCTTAGAATGGAACCATGACTTGAAAAAAATGAGAAAGTGGTCCCATTTGGTCCCATTTAGTCCCATTCTTGGCATAAAGTTACTATTTTTAGACATTTTAAGGTTTTTTTTAGACTATTTTTAATTTTTTAAAAAGTAACGCTTTTTGGTAACGCTCAAATAAGATTTAAATTCATTTAAAGCAATAAAAATAATTTAAATTGAGAAGTGGAAATCATGGTCCCATTTGAAAAATGTGACAAGAGTAGACAGTAAGTCTCACTGGGACAGTATGGAACTACTATCTAATGTTAAAACCGTGTAATGGGATCAGTTGAATTGGTAATGGGACTATCAAAAAATCTGGTCCTGGTCCCAGACACGGTCACACGGTCAGTCTATCAAGGTCTGACTGAGCCTTTGATCCCTGCACAGTGAGATATATTAAATCTAGTTTTAATATCTCAATATTCAATAGATTCTGTAAGAGATTGAGAACAGCAACACTAGGTTTCTATTGAATTTAAGAATTAACTCTATATTGATATAATCATTGACAAAGTCTTCTATTTTGAGATATAAATAACCAGTTCCTCTACATCCTGCTGACAATATTTACATTATTATATAGAAACAGACTTATATTCTCTATAATATCAAGACTCTGAAGAGGGAAAGTCTTGATAGAGAGTATATAGTAGTGCATATCTTAGCAGTTTCTATCTCATTCTTCTGCAGCAGTTAATGCAATAAAAAAAAAAAGATCTTAGAAATAGTTTTTTACTTCTCTTGAAAAAGTAAGATGTTTTTCTCTGGGTTTTACACACTATTCTTACAAAGAATTAAAAACAGAGTTGTTTTCTGTCATAATTTCATATTCTTTTAAGTAAGAATTACTTTTTCAGTGACTGAAGAGCTTTCATTAATACTTAATTCTCTTTTACACTCTTTATTGACTGATTTGAGTTGCACACTTGTTGTGTGAGAAGAATTGAATGATTTAGAATAAAATTAAATAGTTTTAATCAATTTCTCTGCAAAAAATTGACTTATTTTTTGTCAGTTTTTCTCTCAAAAACTGTCATATCATCTGATTTATTATCAATTGATATCATACTTTTCCTCACTGTATCTCAAGAAAGAGTTTGTAAAGATTTTATTGATTTATCTTAAAAATCACTTTTAGTTTATTAGATTCTCTTCAAAAATCTAACCTAGTTACTGAACTAGTGTGAAAGAAATCAGATGTTTTATACACAAAAGTCTTTCATTCTTCTTTTGAAACAGTCTGACCAACTTTTCAATTGAAAATAGACTAATAAATCTCTCAACTGAAACAGTCTGATCAACTTTTCATTTGAAAATAGATTAATAAATCTCTCAATTGAAACAGTCTGACCAACTTTTCATTTGAAAATATACTGATAAATCTCTCAATTGAAACAGTCTGATCAACTTTTCATTCAGTGAGTAAAATGAGTTCAAGAGTACACTCAGTTGATGTGGAAAAAGATGTTTTTCCAGATGCCATTCCTGAGATTGAAATTCTAAAGAGAAGAAAGAAGGAAGAAATAGAGAAACAACAAGTTCTTGAAATACAGAAACTGGAAAAAGCAAGCAAAATTCTTGGAAAACAGTGTCTGAGTGAGAAGAATGAAGAAGTTCTGTTAATTCTTCATGCTCAGGCTAGACAACTACAAGAAGTGATCAAGTTCAAACTTGAAATTTCAAACACAATTTAAAAAACATTGAAATCTTTCAGTACAGTCACTGACTCTTTTTCACCTTCTACTTCTTCATCTTCTTCTTCAAATCAGAAGAAAACATATACTCAAGTAGCAGAATCTGCTGTCTCCAAATCTGCTAGTTCAAAATCTGCTCAAAATTCTGAGAAAACTGAGAAGAATATTTCTCAGACCTCTGTTCATAGAAAGGAGAAAAAAGAAATATAAAAAGAGAAGAGCTTTCAAATCTTCAGAAATAGAAGACTTATTCTCAAAGTCTCAAACCAGGAGAGCTTGCAAAAAAACAAGCTAAACTCAAATCTCATTTTCAGAATTAGAAATGAAATTAATCAGCAGTTCTTTTCTCAGTTAATGACTGATATTGAAGTTCAAAAACCAGTCATAGCTTCAATTAAGCCATCTTTCTTTGAAAACTCTATTATTTTGACTACAATGCCTGAATTCAGTGCAGAATTCCTTATTCAGAATGAGAATCTCTGAAAATCAGTAATAGAATCTCTACTAAATATAACAATTCTATCTGAAAGAGATGAAAAGTGGGACAAATTCATTCTTCATGATATTCCAGTTGAAATTTTTGACTGTGAGAAAGAAATACTGCTTCTCAAAAATGAATTAGAAGAATACAATTCTATTCAACTGAGAAAAGAGCCTGTATGACTTAATTCAATTGAGTTCAGATAGAGTTGAAGAAATGCCTCTGTTCTAGTGTATACAAAGACACTTGAACAATCAAGAATCTCTGAAGTAAGAGTAGCAGGTTTGAAAATGAGAGTTCATAAATACAAAGATTCAAGAATGAATCTCAAAGCTCAAACACAGTGTTCAAACTGTCAAAGATATGAACACTTTGCAATCTCTTATTTCAGAAACTCAAAATGCACATTCTGTGCTAGAGATCACAAAACTAGTGAGCATAAATGTGAAACATGCTTAAAAAGAGATGAAATATGTTAATATACTCTGCTTAAGTGCTTTAATTGCAAAGAAAAACATGCATCTAGCTCAAAAGAATATGTATTTGCTCCAAGAACTCAGAAGAACTGAAGAAAAGATAAAGCTCAAAGTGA